CCTATTTGGTTCAGGACTTGGGTTTAGGGTTTAGGGTTTAGGGTTTAGGGGAAATATACGCACACACAAACCCTAGACTGGGCCCAGACGCTAAACCCGAATTGCTACACCTTGAACCCTAAACCGTGGATTGGGGTCGGAACATATTCCCCCCCGGTTCCCAAACTTCACCCCCTCACTAGCACAAATGTGCGGAAGTGCACGGCCCCCTGCAGCCGCCGTCGTCTCAAGCAAGAAGCCCTAAGACCTTAAACCCCGAGCCCTAAACCCAAAACCCGAAGCTTTAAACCCTAAGCCCTCAAAACCTAAACCCGAGGCCCTAAAGTTCAAGACCCTACGCCCTAAGCAACCCAGAGCCCTACAAGCTTAATCGTAGACCCGAACCCCGAAGCCCTGAACTAAACCAACCCTAAACCCTAAACCCTCAGCCCTAAACCCTACTTGGAGGGTCGGGGGACTTAGTAACTGGTTATTTTAGGGACTTATAAGTACCATAACCCCAATTAGGGCCCCTTTTAGGGTACTTATAAGTCTACTTACTACCTACTTACTAAGTCCCCCGACCCTCCAAGTAAACCCTCAGAGCCAGGCTTGCTCCAGCGAAAGAATGGCGGAGCTCCCGGGCATCACCAGCCATAGCCTCGGCACACTTACAGGGCTCATGGGGCGTCTTAGCAAGTAAGGCTATAAGTAGTTTAAAATTGGGACTTAGGGGATTTAGAGCCGCATTTATAGCCTGCTTAATAATAAGTCCCATGATCCTTTAAGCAGTGAAACTCGGAGCCTCTCGCGCCACAGACCCCAAACCGTAAACCCCAAGCCCCAAACCCCAAACCCCGAGCGCTAAACCCTTGAACCCTAAACCCTAAGCCCCACTAAACCCTAAGCTCCAATAAGCCCTAAACCCTAAGCCCTAAACCCTACACCCCAATAAACCCTCAACCCTAAACTCCAGACAGCCTTCAACCCTCTAAGTCCCAATAAAAGCCACCGAGCCCCGATGAGGCTGGAAGAAGATCACCGGCTTACTGACTGCTATGAGCGAGGAGTACGGTGACTTGGCAGGGGCCCGAGCCTGCCTTTGGGGGTCTAAAGGGTTTGGGGGAGTACTTAAAAGATCATGGGACTTAGTAGCTAGGGTTATAAGTAAGGTAACTATACTTTTAACCTCAATTAAGGTACTTGTACCCTTACTTACTAGGTCCCCTGATCCTCCAAGTAGGGTTTAGGGTTCAGGGGTTTAGGGGAACTTTGTCTCGGGTTTGGGGTTTTCGGGATTTGGGGTTTAGAGTTTTAGGCTTAAGTTTCAGATCTTAGGGCCTAGGGTTCGGCAAGGAATGGCAGCTTACTCCTACTTGGAGGGTCGGGGGACTTAGTAAGTAGGTAGTAAGTAGACTTACAAGTACCCTGAAAGGGGCCCTAATTGGGGTTATGGTACCTATAAGTCCCTAAAACTACCAGTTACTAAGTCCCCCGACCCTCCAAGAATTCAGGCTTTGCAGGTTTCTTGTCTGTTTGTGCGTTTCACTAGAGTCCAGTAGACACTAAACCGAAGACCCGAGTCGAGTCACAGAGGGGTTAAGGTTAGAAGGGGCCCCCCACCCTGTAATAGTGGTATAATAGGAATATAACCGGGCCCTAATATAATCCTTATAGTCACTATTCCAGGGTGGGGGCAGCTTCTAAGATTAAGGTTTTTAGGGTGTTGGGTTCAGGAGTTTTAGGGTTTAGGGGTGTCAGGATTCAAGACCTTGCTTGCAGAGGCTCGAGTACACTAGCAGTGCAGGAGTCGCAATGTAGGGGCCTGAATAATGACAAAAATCTAAAAACAAAGCTTAACGTTTTTTACTTTACTACAGCCGTCCATTCCAACTTTATCAGTTAAACCAGCACAAACCAGAAAGCAGATCCCGATACGTGGTGCGACCTAGCCCCTAAACCCCAAAAACCCCAACGCCCTAAACCCAAAACCCCAAAGCCCTAAATCCCCAAAGCCGTAAAGCTCTAACAGATGCCCTGATATCCTTAGAATCACACTGAGGCTTTCACCATAATTTTGATGTCCATTGCTCCATTTATGGGTTTGCATGAGTCTCTTGGTAGTCAGGGGCCCTGAACCCTCATGATTATTGGGTGTATTGCTGAATTTATGGATTTGTGCAAGTCTCTGGGTAGTCCTTGAGGTCTATTGCTCAATTTAGGGTTTGGGGTTCAGGGTGTTTCTGTGTAGTCAGGGACTTGTAATCGTGATTCCTGAAGCCATGGGTTCCATTCAATCGTCGTGTGCCAATCGCTGCTGCGCTGAGCGGGAGAAGGCTGCCCAGGTCCATAATTTCAGGGTTTAGGGCTAGGGTTTAGGGTTTTAGGGTTAGGGTTTAGGGTTTAGGGTTAGGGTTTAGGGCGTGGGGTCAGGGTTTATTTAGGGAATCTACAAACCCAAGGCCCTAAACTTTAAACCAAGCACCGTGTTAGGGATATTGCATAGCTTCCTCTCTTGGGCGTAAATGAATATCTTCAGGGTTTAGGGAATCTACGAACCCGGTGTTGGGGATATTGCCTGTGTTCCCTTTGTCATTGTCTTACCTTTGGTTAGTAGGGAATGGAAGAATGGTAGCAATAGTAGTTATAGTTGTACCCCATTCCTCCATTCCCTACTAGCCAAAGGTAAGTAAAGGATTATTAAGGCCCCTATTTTATAGTATCCTTTTAAGATCCCTTATAGTAACCCTTATAGATCCCTCAGGGCTTGCTATATGGTATGGTTCCACACAACAGCAAAATCACAGACCATAGGGTCACAGACCATAGGGTATCATTCGGGGACATAGATGATTTGGGGCTTTGGCTGTGACCTGTCACTTGCAGCATCAAGGCCTCGCCAGTTTGGCCCTGGGAGTGTCAGTGCATGGTGTGGCAGATTTCACGGCATGATCGACTCGAGTCCGTGTGAGAGAGAGAGAGAGAGAGAGAGAGAGAGAGCACCTGCTGATTGCACTTGCTGGTTCCGCATGGCGCCATGGCTTCAAGCGATGCCAATGAAGCCCATTAGCAAGGCACAGGGGGGCGGTGCAGCACCGATTAAAGCAGCAGCCTTATCCCCCCAGGTGCTTTGCATGGCCTTTGACAGCACTGGCCGAGCCCTGCCGTCAGTGTGCAGAGTCAGGGTCAGGGTCGTTCAGGGTTAAATTAGGTTAAGGAGGTCCAGTGGACCTCCAAAAATGGGTCCACTGGACCCTAATAATCCAGGCTCAGTGGGCCTGAGAATGGATCCAGTGGATCCAAGGGGTCCAGTGGACCCCAGATAGGCTAATTCAGGTTTTTGGTGCAATACGTGTAGGGCTATTTAGGGCTTTATGCTCTGAGGGGAAGGATAATTAGCAGTTATTTGATTTATTAAGTATAGTAATACGGGTGGGTTTTGACCTTGAAGCCCTCTTTTCTTGGCCCAGGAGCATCAAGAAGCGTACCAAGCTGTGAAAGATAACCCTAATCATTAAAAAATAATCCTAAATATCCTGAACCCTTAATTAACCCTACAGGATTGCCCGAGTGTGAGCGCCGAAGGCCTGCACCTTAAACCCTTAAATACCCTTAAACCCGAAACTCTAAACCAGATGCCTCGCCTGGATTGCCCGAGTCCTTGCACCAAAAGCCTGAAGCCTAAATACCCTAAACCCCTAAACTTCTAAACCCCTAATCTCCTAAACCCGTAGACCCCTAAACCCCTAAACCTCTAAACTCCTAAACCCCTAAACCCCTTAACCCCTTAACCCCGTATAATCCCTAAACCCCTAACCCCTACACCCTAAACCCTTAAGCCCTAAACCCGAATCACTAAACCCCTCAGGCCGGGAGCGTCAGTGTCAGTGCATCGCCTGCTTCGTGACCGGTCCGACCCTCACTGCATTGCATTGCCTTCTTGAGCTGTTAGCGTGACTTGTTGTTGGCATGGAGCAGTGGTTGTGTGGGTGCCCCTGTATGCAGGATCAAGTTGCGAGGGGCACATGCGACATCACATGTTTGGAGGGCTGCCATGCCCCAGATCCACGTGCCCTGAAAGTGGAGCAACATCTCTTTACTACTTATCTACGCAGCATCATAACATTTGAATTGAAGTGTCATTGGTAAATTCGCCTTCGCCCAGATCTGGGTCCCTTCATGTCACAACAGAGCAACAAAACACTGCTTGCTTATCATTATCATAACATGACATGGCCCTTGAGTGCCATTGATTGAAGCAAGCACCTTCGCCTCCGAAGCCATGGGTAGAAACCGACCCAGCAAAAAGCGCTCCGATGACAAGCTGGAGCACAAGTGGCAGCTCAAGCGTCAGAGAGAAGCCCATGAGGACACATTCATTTGATGTTAACTGCTGCAAGTTGCTGTTGGTGATTGTCGGGCCGTGCGTTTGTCGCTTCAGGAGCAGATGCAGCAACAGCGGCGGGCTTTCGAGGACAGATTCAGCAGATTGGTGCAAGTTCTTGTTGGGGTGATTGCCGGGCCTTTCTGGTTCAGGAGCAGCGGAGAGCCTTGGAGTTGCAGGCGTTGTCGGCTACCCATTCCGCGACCTGTGCACAGCAGTCGGCGTCTGTTGCCCTGGCTGCTGTTGCTTCGTCAGGGTCAAAGCCACCTGCAACTTGGCAAAACCTCACATTCCCTTGACCAATATGCAGTGATGCATAGGCCGCAGCCTGGGCAAAAACGTACGATGAGCCGAGGTGGTTCACGTCAATGTGGCTTCGACGGCGGCTTCCTCATCCCCAGCGTCAGTGCCCGCGCTTTGTCTGGAGTGAGTGCCTTCACAGGAAATCCATTTAGCAGACTATTGAATCGAAGAGTACCTTGAAAAGATTCAGGTTGCTGGATCCGGCTCTGGTGCACCGCCTGGTGGAGCGTCAGTGGCGAGCCGGCCTTTAGCCGCTTGCTTGACCGTCATTGGATTGACTGACTATTTCATCTCTTTGGGTTTTCGAGTTCTCGTATCTGAGGACCTCAGGGCCATGGTGCATCGGTTTCGCGGCCTCGCACAACTGCCCGACCCCAATGGGGCACGAATGGCCTGGATCCAGGATATTATGCTCCTGGATTACGACGACTTCCTGAAGGTCGTGACCTATGGAGCACTTTGGCCGGAATCGTGCTAATAATGAATTCCTGTCCTTTATTATGATGCCTTTTCTGGTGTCCAGTGCCAATGTCTATACTGTTCCTGAACTTAGGAGATACTCCAGGCTCTGCTTCGCTACATTCAGAGTCAAAGCCTCCTTCGAGGAGTGGCGATGGCTGCCCTTGGGCGAGTGGTCAGAGAAGACTTCCCGGAGGCCGCTTACGGGAAGTGGGTCGCGCTTCTCAAGGCCATTGCGGAGCAGGATCGAGATGACCTGGCACTGGCGGCGCGCAAGCACATGGCCGTCTATGCGCCTCACTTGCCGCTGCAGGAGGTTCAGATCGCCCCGGCCCCTCGCGCGACTTGGCTCACATAAAGTTTTGCATCAACACGGCCAGTGCAGTGCATAGCCAAATTGTCAACTGAGTCTCCGCCGTCGGCTCCGCCTGCCGTGCCAGAGTCAAAGAGCAAGGGCAAGGGCAAGGGCAAGGACAAGACAAAGCCTTCAGCGTCAAAGACCAAAGGCAAGGGCCAGCAGAAGGCGAAGGCCAAGCCGAAGTCGTCTTCGAGCAGTTCTTCTTCGTCGTCCGACAGTGCGAAGTGTTCCTTGCTGGAGGAGTCGGCCGCGTCAGGGTCAAAGTCAAAGCCTGACGGCTGAAGCTTCGTTTTGGATGGACGTGCAGCCATGAGAGCTGAACCTCCGTCAAAGTTCGTGCGATGCATGGGACGCAAAAGAGGATGATACTGATTGCTGCTGGCTTGCCTGTTGAAGCTCATGTGGTGACACAATCACTCGGTGCATGATCTCTCTTCTCAGGTCGCCGTCGCCATCGAGGACATCGCAGCAGAACTTCCAGACGCATTGCGAGGCATTGGCTGACTTCGTAACTCAGACTCTTGCTTTGGAAGACAGCTCCTGTGCAGGAGGAGCGGTGGTCGTGCCTTTGCATGCCGAGTGCCGAGGCTTCCAGGTGGGTCGTAGCGGGTTGATGCTTGTGACTCATTTTGACTGACATAGCAGGTGGCAGGGACCATCATCAAGATCGGGGGTCGGAACGACATCATCAGTGTCACTGAAGAGGTGCCATCTTGCCCCTTGCTTCAGTTGCCCGGTCTTGAGCACTTGTGCACATGAAGCTCCTGCTCCACCCGCAGGTTTCTGATGTCTCCAGGGCTGCCATGTCCCATGACAGCCATGTCACATGATTAGGCGGCACTTTTACGTACTGCTATGTAACAGCATCTAGATTTCCTACTGTGGTCCTGAGGTAGCGATTCATAGACACTTTTACGGGCGGCAAAGCAACACTAAGTCACCCATTCTGGGCAATTCTGGTGCTGGCTTCAATTTCTTCCGAGTTCTGACACCAGACTTCACCATCGCACGACGACAGCCCGTGGCAGGCGCAACAAACATCCAGTGTCAGGGTTTTTAGTTTCATGTCCTCCACCTCGAGCCATAGCCCCAGTGTCGCTCTCAGCCTTCTTCCTCCCAACCAATCGTCGGTCGCGGAGCGGAGCCTCGACAGGGGAGCGCAACAGGCCGGCCCCTGTCTGCAGTGTCAGTTGGGCAATTGCAATGTTCACCTGGTCTGGAGAGGTGGCATATTGTGTCCACTTTTTATTGCCATCCGCCTCCGCGGACTTGCTGCACCACCTTCGCGACTCTGACACTTCTGGCAGCAGCACTGGCAAGAGGAGCAACTCCGCGTGGTTCATCGACAGCTCCAAGAAGGTCATCAGACAGTCTCTTGGCCGCAATGCGGCTGTGATTGTTCAAACTCTGACCATGGTGTCAAATGAACACTGTCTCAGGCTCAATGAACAATCAGGCCTGGAGGCCTCATGACGACCAGGATTGGAGTTCCTGGCAAGACTGGCAGGGCTGGCAGGACTGGCAGGGATGGCAGGATTGGCGAGGATGGCAGGATTGGGGCCAGGCCCAGACATGGCAGCGTGGCGGGCAGAGCCACTTGTTTGTATTGCTCGTCTTGCTCTCTTAGTCTCATTGTTCTGCCTGTTCCTGGCCTGGTCCCTTTCGCTTGAAGCCGAGGTTTTCAGGACAATGATCGTGCCCAAGCACCCTGGAGCCGCTTATTTGCAGTACGCGTGTTGCTGTATTAATCTTAACCCTCGTGCTCTGGCTTCGTCCCTTTCACTTGAAGCCGAGGTCAGGGTCGGGAGGCCAGTGCTGGCTGCTATGGCGACTACGGCCGCAACTGGTCGTGTGGCTGTTTGAATCCTCTTCCGCTTGTTCCTGGCTTGGTCCCTTTCACTTGAAGCCGAGGTCAGGGCCAGTACCAGGATGATTCTGACAACTACTCTGACAACAATGGTCCTGGCCAAGCACCCCAGAGCCGCTTGTTTACACCGACCGTGTTGCTGTCTTTTGTTTCTTTGCCTGTTCATGGCCTGGTCCCTTTCACTTGAAGCCGAGGTCAGGGACAGTACCACGATGATTCTGGCAACTACTCTTACAACCATGGTCCTGGCCAAGCACCCCAGAGCCGCTTGTTTACACCGACCGTGTTGCTGTCTTTTGTTTCTTTGCCTGGCCTGTTCATGGCCTGGTCCCTTTCACTTGAAGCCGAGGTCAGGGCCAGTACCAGGATTATTCTGGCAACTACTCTTACAACAAAGGCCCTGCCCAAGCACCCCAGAGCCGCTTGTTTACACCGAGCGTATTGCTGTCTTTTTTTCTTTGCCTGTTCATGGCCTGGTCCTTTTCACTTGAAGCCGAGGTCAGGATCAGGACTGTGGCAGGGCACACCAGCGCCTCTTTTTTGCATTGCGCCGCTCGTGCTGCTGTGCAGTCTTGGTCTTCTTCCGCCTGTTCCTGGTCCTTTTTCATTTGAAGTCGAGGTCAGGAGCATGGTCGTGGCCAAGCAGCCCCGAGCCGCTTGTCATATTACACTTGTGTTACTGTCTTAGTCTTCTTCGCCTCGTTCCTGGTCCTTGTCTCTTGAATCCGAGGTCAGGATCAGGACTATGCTCGTGCCGAGAACTTGGTGCACAATTTTAGATCGTATATGCGCAATTTTAGATCGTATAGCCTCGCTTTCCCCGCACGTGTCCTTCGAAAGCAGCAGACGGATGGCAGTCAGCCTTTGAGCTCGTGCCCAGGCACCCCAGCGCCGCTTGCTTGCATTTGCACTGCTCGACCTGCAATGCAAACTGTCCTTTTCCGCCCTGTTACTACTGTTCCTGGTTTTTTACACTTGAAGCCGAGGTCAGGAGCTTCCTCGTGCCGAAGCATCCCAAAGCCGCTTGTTTACGATTACACTGCTCGTGGGGCCGTCATAATTCCTGGTCCTTTTCTCTCGACGCCGAGGTCAGGCTGGGGACTGTGGTCGTGCCCAGGCACCTTTGCGCCGCTTGTTAGCATTGCACTACTCGTGCTGCTGTGCACTCTTGGTATTCTTCTGCCTTTTCCTCATCCTTTTCACTTGAGGCCGAAGTCAGGAGGATGGTCGTGCCGAAGCACCCCGGAGCCGCTTGTTAAAATACACTGCTTGTGTTGCTGTCTTAGTCTTCTTCTGCATGTGCCGGGATTTTGTTATTAAAGCCGAGGTCAGGAGCAAGACCGCCTGCCAGGCGTCAGAGAACCCCGCGTGGAAGACCTCACGACGGTGTTGCTTCTTGCCTTTGTAAGAAAGTCTTTGTCTAGTGTGTGTGGTCGGTCCATGGCGGATGGCCATGCTGGGTGGCCAAGGACGGAAATGGCGCGCGATATGGGCTTATCGGAGCCCGTGTGCCGCGGGGTGATGGGCCTGCTCCGGTTTGGCCGGGGTGGGGCAGATCCGCGCCATTCTGTCGATGCAGCTCGGCATGCTGGCTGCCCAATAAAGCCTACTTAGATTAGACTAAACCTGGCCCGCGGCACCTTCTGCCAGCCGAGGACGATTGGCCTGCAGGCCCGGCACCAAAATCCGGGCCAGCGCCTGGACGCATGGATGCTGGCACGAATCCACCGGGACCGGGGCTGTGCTATGACAGACGTTGAGGTTGGGGAACTGCAACGTACCTTTATTGGCCTGAGCAGGACTCCCGGATGCTTCAAGATCGTGCACCTGCGTCTGAGGCCAAGGCAAAGGCCTTGGCCACGGCCTCTCCGCCTCCCCTGTCAAAGGCCAAGGGCAAAGCGCAGCCAAAGGCTGCTGATCAAGATGCGGGTGCTTTTCCCAAAGCTCCCCCAGCCGCTAAAGCAGAGTCAGTGCCGAAGTCCCCGCCTGCAAAAACAGAGTCAATGCCGAAGCCCAAGCCTGCTGAAGCAGAGTCAGTGCCGAAGCCCCCGCCTGCTAAAGCACCAGCAGAGGTAGACCAGGTAGAGCCTGCAGAGCCAGAGCCAGTGCCGAAGAAGAAAGCAACATTCAAGGCTCCCCCGCCCGACCTCTGATTGAGAGGCTGGCTCAGGCTCAGATGTCAGTGTCAGTTTTGCAAGACCAGAGTCAGTGTCATAGCCTTTTGCTCTCGGTGCTGTTGCGGTAAATAGTTAACCGAACATATTATGTACACTCATCATACTCTTAACTTTGCAATATTCTAGCATCAGTGTCAGTACGCTTTTCCGCGGGCACTTGTGAGCCGTCCACGTATCAATTAAAGTTGCCACATCTGGAATGCCTCACTGGCCAAAAATTTGCCTCGTCTGTGCAAGTGTTGCGGCGACAGCTGTGTTCATTTTGCATTGAAATTCACTTCTCAGTTGCCCTGGCCCTCGCAGGTGCCGACGGGCCAAGCGTCAACTTGGATCCATTTGGATGGATAGTCTTCAACTCAGTCAGTGCATGACGACGAATTAGTCCGGTTTCCCAAGCATTCTGACATGTGAACGATACGTATCAAGATGCATTTGGAATTCACTTCTCTACTGTGTCTCTGCCCTATACTGTAGCAGGTGCCGATGGGCCCAGAGTCAACTTCGAAGCCGCAGCCGTTCGAGCCTGAGTGACAATGCAGAGCTGAGCTGAGAGGTTTCCCGGTGAAAGTAGACTTTTCTAGTTCATGCAATCCCTATAACGCATTCATATACCCAGGCTTTCTGCAATGAGCCGAAACCAACTCTTCAACCCTAAACCCTAGAAGCACCCAAAACCATCCTGCCCACTGTGGATTCCTTGGCCTAGGCCGTCTCAATTCTAGCCTAATGCATTATCCCAGGCCTGCTCAATGCATGTAGTAGCATGGTTTCAATCAGCTCGGTCTGAAGCAAGGCTTGAGTAACGAAATCATTGGCCAAGGCCTCCTGAATTCCGGTTAAACAAGGCCGAAATGCTCTAGCCTGCTTTTAGCTTGCGTTGAGCTCGAAACTCCAGGCAAGGCCTGAGCCTGTGGGGGGGGGGCCACGGCCCGGGGGCAGGACAACCACAATTCCGAGGACAACCACAATTCAGGAGCCGACAACAGGACAACCACAATTGGGAGGCTGACAAATGGTGAATTGTGGTTGTCCAGACAGCTCCACCCTTTCGCGACGTGCAGGTTGAAAAATTATTTTCCTTTAGAAATGCTTTTGGAGGCTGGATTTGACCCATCGAACACGGCGGCGCGGACGCAAGTGATTTTTTGGAGTTCATTTCGAGCCCCTTGAACGACGCGTTTTTCAGCACTTACCTCGGGCAACCACAATTGGGACAGAATTTGGCCGGAATTGTGGTTGTCCGGCGCGCAAAACCTTGGTTTCAAGCTTGGAGAGTCTTGGGTTGCCTTTGAGGACACTACTAAGGTTCTGCTCCCAGACAGTAAGAGTCTGTACTAAGGCTACTATTAGATCCTAATATATGTATATTAGACCTACTGAGTGGAGGCCGTACCCAAGACATGACTTTGAGGAATTCCTGCTACACTGTACACTAGTTAGTTGTCATTGATTGCAATAGAATCAAGGATGGTGGTTTGCGTCATCCTGCATTCCAACTTCAAAGCCAGAGTCCCAGTTGCAACTCGCAAAGACCTTTTGCCTGAAGTCTTTCCTGCTGTTTAGGTAAAAAATTTGCCAACCGTTCCTCCACAAGGCCCCACGGTGTCCGGACTTCAGAGCGGCTGCTGGTGAATGAAGGTCTGCGGGGCTGTGTCAGCGGATTTCGACGTGACAGTGTGGAGAAGTCATTGACAATCTTAATTTCCCAGCATGTGCATAGGCTCAAGCAACAAGACTGTGAACACCCAAACATCTTTGACAACAGTGTCAAATGTCAAACTTCATTGAAGCTTGGCGACTCTGAGCCCTGGCAACTAGAAGATGCAGAAGTTGTTGCTGTTGCAATGCCGTCGCAGCCTTTTATATGTCCCTCCTGTGGTGAAAAAAGCCGCCGCAAGTCAAAGCCTTGCAGCAAGTGCAGCCTGCTTGCAAGAACACCATGCATGAACCCATGAACCATGACGTGTGCACACCCCAATCGAAGCAAAGGTGAGCCGACACCGCAGAGAGGGCACAATCTATTGGAGCATCGGAAGGATCAGACCGGCAACTCGTGGCAACTGCAAAACAAACGGTATTTGTCAAACGAGAACAACGTCCTCCCGCCGTCAGCGTCAATGAAGCACGTGAAGCTCAGCAAGAACGTGGACTTCACGTATGTACTTCCCCACCAGCTCAGAAATGAGAACACGGTGCAGGGCTTTCATCAAGGCGGAGTCTCGGCTGCAGCACAGGCAGCATGTCAGGCAAGTTCTCACAAGAGACATCAGGGACAGAAGGCGCAGAAGCCGAGGTTTGTGTCAAGATCTGCAAGATATGCTGAACAACACGCATAGTGGGCCCGGGCTGAACAACCTCAAACAGAAGGCTGGCTTGAAAAGAGTTCCCACGAATTCTCATCATTGACAGTTTTGATTTTTTTGTAAAGGTGCCGGAAGCCGTGAAGCTTTTCAGCAAGCACTGGCGAGAAGAGTGCTTCGGCTGCGTCTGTGCGAAACCACGTGCAGGGAATGTGAGAACAGCAATCGCAAGTCAGAGCTCAGGCAACGGAAGGCGGCAGTGGCTGCTGAGATGCTGGTGCTGCCTGGTGGTGAGGAGGGTCAGTGCATTTTGAAGGCGGAGGATTGAAGAGATGATGCTTCTGGCTCTGTGTATCACCTGCAACTCCATCATCCATCTTTGCAGCTTATCCCGGTGATTACAAGTCTTGCTTCGGAAGCAAGCTTCGGCCTCCGACCGGTTTTGATTTGCTTGCCTCTGCTGACTGAGGAACCTGTTGTTAGTGTCAAAGTGTCATGGAACTCCTGGTCGGGGTGGACTCTGACCGTCAGTGTCACTGCAGCTCGTGCGAGTGAGTTCCTGTACAATCCAGGCAGCTGCAAGTGTCAGCAGGGGCAACTGGTCCTGTAACAGAGGAAAAATGCACAATCAGCATCTTGCACGAGTGCTGTGCAACAAATCTTGTTAGGTGAAGATGTGCATGGATTTCTGCAGCACTTCATTGCTTTGCTGGCATTGCTGGTCTGAATTTGAAACGTGACGTGTTGGTGCAGCCTGTGTGCTCTGAGAGAGCCCAAAGCATTGTGTGCTGCCCCTTCATTTTCATTTCTGTGCTTCTCCTGCCATGGCCTGCTTCGCAGTCGTCGGTTCGGGGACGATGGATGCTACACCAGGGCTGGAATTCTTCCCGTCAGTTCAGGAGGCAATGGCTAATTGTTGCAGTATGGGAGCAAGGAAGCTGCTCGGCGGTTTACGACATATCCCAGTGTAGGACATGATTCACAAGGCAAATCACTAATCCTATCTGTTGCAGATCTCATCCAGGTTGGGCTTCAAGCTTTCCGATGGCGATCCCAAAGGAGTTGCGAGCAGATCCAGAAATGCAAGCAAGCTGGTCATGCCGACAACTTTCTTCAGGCTTGAGGCCCATGTCAAGGACCCCATGATGGCCCTAGAGCTGAAGTTGATCTCCATGAACAGCCGTGGTGGCCAAGGCTTCACAGCTTTGAGCACCTTCGCCAACTTCCAAGACACAGTGTCAATTTCAGTCTTCAACGCCATCTTGACGGTCCACGAGGAGATCATCACCAGTGTCAGTGACAATATCGATGATTGCCCATGGAAGTTCTACACCTTCGATTCCACCAACCACCGCAAGGTGGAAAGCATGTTGCAGAAGAACTCCTTGAAGCCTCTCAGCCTTCCAGTTTGGTTCAGGGCATGTGAGCCTGCGGTGCTGCTCGCTTTCTGGGCCCGGGGGGGCTGCTGCAGCAGCTTCGCTCTCCAGCGTCGCTAGGGCTTTGGGACATTTTATATTTTCCCCTATTGGGCTTAAGAGGATGTTATTTACTAATATTTTTCAAAGGCTTTAAAAGCCCCACCTAGGTCAGTGTTTCAAGGAGAAGCCCCCAGCGTCATGGCCAGTTGACCTACGGGTGTCGCCCCTTGGAGAGTTTTGGACTGCCCCAACAGAGACTTGGTAGCTGAGTTTATAAACTTTCAACTTTTTCAGATAATGAAACCCTCTTAAAACTGAAAGTTTAAACTTTTGGGCTTATAATCTCGGCAACTAAGGAGAGCATCACCCCGGATCGCATCGTCAGTGTCAAAGCCACTGTCGTTTTGACAGAGAGCCACAAGACCCCACAGATTGAGATGACGAAGCAATTCCAAAAGTGTGAGATCCAGAAGAGCTTGTGGGTGGTAGAGTCGAAGCTGGAGATGATTCAGATCGAGCCCCATGTCTGTTGAAAAAAGTCTTAACCTCTTGTTAAGAGACATTATCGGAGCATCTTTCAACAAACTCAAACAACAAGCCATCTACACAGCTCAACAAAAAAGTCCAGTCCATGAAAGCAAAGGCAGTCCGTCCTCCAGAGTGATCGCGACTGTCTCCAACGAGACCTGGACCGTTTGAGCAGAGAGGAGGACCAGGAGCACAAAGCGAAGAAGCTTAAGAAGACCATGGTTGCAGAGGAGTCAGAGACGTGTCTTGATTCATTGATGGCGGCAGAGGGAGCACAAGGATTGAGCGAGAACAGTTCTTCAGCAGCCTGAGGCTGCTAAGCTACAGGCCCCTTCCCGGCAGGATTTTAGACTGTTGCATGGAGACAGTGTCAGAGTCACTTTTCAGGCGAACCAGTGTGTTGTGAGGTCTAGCCAGGGGGGGCCTGCGCAAAACGTCAATGACGTTTGCTGCCTTTCGATCCACTGCAGGGTCGGGCATTTTTGAATGATGGTACAAATTGCGAGATACTCTGGCTTGGAGGACAAAGCGCAGCAGTGCACAGGCATCATGCAAAGTACGACTCTGATATTCTGAAGCCACAGTTATACGAAGGATTTCTTGCATGGGTGCAGTCTTGGCATGTTTGTTGCTCACGTATGCCCTGAAGTCAGTACTGGTCTTGCAGTGTGCCGAATCTCTTGTGTTTAGGTGGTCGTATGATATGCTGTCTTTGCCAGGCTGGTGCCGCACTGCCGTTCAGGCTGCTTCGGGAATGCAGCGAGGCCTGCTGTGGACACGAGTCTGTATCATTCTATGGCAAGCAGGATAGGTGCTGCATTCTCAGTCTGGATCACGAACAGAATTTTCTCACTTGATTTGTGTGCCATGGACAGTTGCGAGCAGGAGATGCATGTACTGTGCCTTGCTGGACAGGCTGAGGCTAGGGGCGGCCCAGCCCATCATAATTTTTTTTCTTCAATGCAACACTCGTGCTATGTAAGTTGACCTAATGTCAAAGCTATGGCTATGCAGAGCAGAGAGATGTGTAGCTGCCAGCAGTCTGTAAGAAAAGTACGCGCCGTGGAGCAAGAGAAGGAGACAAGCATTTCTATTCGGTAGATTCATGAACGTTGCAATGGACACAGACTGTCCGGAACCATCGAGCACGACGGACATTGTTTGCTGCGATGCTGCCGGTCCTCCAGGTCTTTGTGGTTCCTCGGCTAGTTTGTCCAACCGACTCGCCATGTTTACTAGATTGGGGTCCACCAGAAGATACGATCTATGTGGTTAGCCGTGTCTGAACCTCCCTTATGCAGCAGTTTTAGCCAAACTGCTCCATAAGGGGGGTTCCTGATGACTATGATGCACAATGGGCATGATCAGGTCTTTTCTTTGGCATAGTCATGGCCTTTTCCTCTATGTAGTGATGATAGACTTTGCAGGAACCCCGCTTATGCAGCAGTTGGGCTACAACTGCTCCATAAGCATGGTTCCACTACAGCCTAAACCCTTGTCAGCTTTAAATGCCTGCCACCTCCCACAGGTGCACAGGTCTGCTTTGCCGAGCAAGAGGATGCTCTGGAGCTGTTCGGTGGATTTGGGAGTTTCCCGGACGTCGGCTCTCGCTCAAACCCTGGCTTTCTGCAAATCTCAGAGTCAGAGACAGCAAGTGTGCCGGCAGCAAATGATGACCTTGCAGACTTCGTAGCTGCGCCGCAAGCTGGCCAGCACTGGAATCCCGGAAAGGATGTGGGCCGCCACATACAGCGCGGTGAAGGCCATGCTTTTGCACATGACTGAGATGCTAACCCTTTCATTTGGGGATTAAGGTTGGGTTCCCAATGGCCGAAAAGCTGTGAACTGCTGGTCCAGAGTGTGGAGTTCCATGCCTGTTGTGCTTCCCTGCGAGGCTTCAACGAGCAGGCTCAGATCTTGGTTGTCAACTTGATGCTGAATTTGGCGAAGCTCTCCCCCCAGGTTCTCAAGAGCATCAATGAAAGCTTGCCCCCAGTGTCACCTGTTCGGCCGCTAAGCGCAAGGGTTGCTGGGCAGCTGCTGGGCGTGTCAGGTAACAGCTTGAAGGGAGTTCTGCACAGAGTCAAGAACAATGGCTGGGTTCCACACAAGCCCTCAGTGGATGGGAGTTCAGCTGGTGCAGTTGTGGGCGACTGCAGAGTCAATGGCGACGGCAGAGTCAATGGCGACCGCAGAGTCAATGCTCCTGCAGCGGAAACAGCCAAGACCCAGCGCGATGCACGGAGCTCATTGACATCGCTTGTGCGAGAGGCTGTTAGTACTGTCGGCAATGCCCGTCCCGATGGCGACTTCCTGGAAGCCATCACACGATTGCAAAAACATGGTGTGGATGTGGGCGATAAATACTGCAGTCAGAAGTTCCTTCAGATGCACGACGGCAATGGCAAGTGTTGACTAACTTTTCCAGCTCGCAGTAATCAGAAGCTCTAATAATCTTGGGCGTTGTTTAAGCTCCAGGTGGACGGAGCATCTTGGGGCGAAGTGCTTGGAGCAGCAGCAGGCCTCTGATCTCTTGGCGCGGTTGGATGGCTTGGGTGTACGCAGCCCATGTGCCCTCGCTTTCGACAGTGTCACAATTGCAAACTCCATGTTTGCAAGACAGGAGACGCTGCAGATCATTACAATGAGCACTGTGAGTGCTGCCACGGGTCGTTTGCAGAACCACTTTCTGGCAAGTCCCTCCATAGGACTCAGTCACGACGGCGCTTCGCAAGCAAAGTCAGTGTTAGAGGCGATGGCACGACATGAAGCGCACTTCACTGCAGAGTCATTGAGACGCAGAGTCGTGACCGTCATTGGAGGCGATGGTGGCAACTGTGTCTCGACTCTTCCCATTATTTTTTTTGTGCGTGTCCTGCATAAATAGCGAACGTCTAAACCCTAAGCCCTAAAGCCTAAACTCTAAACACTAAACTCTAAACCCTAAACCTTAAACTCTAATATCGCTTTGCGCACGCTTCTACAAGTTCACGTAGTACATACCGGCAAGTGGTTCCATCGGTTGATCTAGCTGAAATTTGAGAATCCGATCTTGAGCAGGGAGTGTTGCCTCTTTGCTGCGGCATCTGCCTCCTGGCAGTGCTCAAGAGCTTTTTTTGTGCCGAGAGCTCATAGTGCAATGGCAAATGTTCGTGAGATGCTGTATCCGGATCTCCCATCCTTGGAGCAGCTGAAAGAACAGATGTGTGTTCGTTTCCCTGGTCTTCGAAGCTTGCAAGGTTGCATAGGTGCATTTGGCATTGTCTGTCATACTTTTTGTTATCCGGAATATTTACAGACAAACATGTTGGAGCTGCATGTGCAAAAAAGTGTCAGACCCCAGGTCGGATGACACGGCCGTGGGGAAGGTACTTATGTGTGGAAGTTTTCGGCGGCATTGCTTGCATCTGTCGAGCATTCGATGCAGCTTTCGGTGCGGGCTCTTCTTACAGCCCTTGTTCCGGTTTGAGAAATGTTATTCTTTGGTAGGCGATTCACTATTTGTCCAGTTCCCTGGTGTGCCATTGAAAAATACTTGGTGTCTGTGGAAGCCCAGGCTTCGACATTCGTTCCGATGGTGTTCACAATGTGTACACGAAGGAAGGTCTCGAGGACCTTATGTTTATTCTTGCGAACACGAAGGCTGGCGCCATTGTAGTGGTAGAACCTACATGTGCTTCCTGGGCAGATTTCCTGTATTGAGGTAGGTGATAAGGTTCCGAATGCATTGTGTCGGGAATGCCCGCTGAGAGTTGCTCCGAAATCAGCACGGAACAGCAGTTCCTGGCCAACTTTTGATAGTACTTGAGTTTATGAACCCTGTCTACACTGTAGCAGTCTGCAAGCACAACCGCCCAGGTATGGATAAGTCGTGCCACGACCCGCAGATCGAAGGTGCCGCTTTTGCAGTATTCAGGGGTATTCGTGCACAGTGTCGAGTGTCATGCCTTTTCGGTCTTTTGAGTGTCAGAGAAGCAAATCAGCAGGAATCTATTCACGGTGACCAGTACTGCAAGTCTGTGATATGTGGGAATGCCACAGCTCGGACACTTGCGAGCCTTGTGATACCAATCTTGGAATGGTTGCAGCTCGACTGGATGGTTGAGCAACCCGTGCCCAGTCTTAACTTTTATTCACCGAACGATTGTTTCCTGTGTCTCATGCTATTATTCTGCCACTGTCTGCGGTTCGATGTGTCATTCCTTTGTTATGTAGCTTCCTGAGGCCTCCTCGTTATTGTGGCATTATCCTGCTGTGGCAGATCTTTTCCAGACGGTGGAGCACATATATGCAGGGACTGTGTCAGCTCATGCTGTAGGTTCCAACACAGCCAAGGTCTTTCATTTCAAAGGTACCTGGCCAGGAATTCCTCTCCTCACCAAGCTTTCGAAAGTCTTGGTGCCACTGACTTCACATCGTATTGTCAAAAAGCTTGCGATGAAGAAAGGAAGGTCGGACTTCTGTATGCGGAAGTCCATGTCATAGTCCAGCTTTGCCTCTGCGGTGTAGCATTTTGGCATTTCTCCATGCCATTACAGAATATTATCTTAGGCCAGTCGTTGTAACCCAGGCTTAATATATGTCTTGGTCGATCAGGTGGACTCGAGGTGTTCCTGCTGCGCTTTCGGACTCGGCTGCTTATCCCGAGCCCATGGGTATTGCCATCCATGCAGTTTATGGTTATCTTATGGATATGAACCAGAAACCAGTGCCCAAGAAGTTCATCGCGCAGCTGGCCAATGCAGTTCTGGTTCTCCTGCAATCTGATGCAGTTGAGCCTTGCCCTGTGTTCTGATTGCAATCATGTAGGATTCCTGCTTGACTATCTGTTCTAATTTGCTGTTGTGTGGCTCTGCATCTGCCGGGTCACAAATGCTTGTTTTTCGTCTTGTCCAGGCAGAGGAGTTGTGCGATGTTGGGCCACATGGCCCTGACCCTGGTTGGCCTGGTCTGAAGTTGCCCAAGAGGCCCTTCTTTAAGAAGAGGCCATGTTGTAGTGTTGCTCCCTCAGACGCATCTGATTTGCTCCATGTGGTGCATGTTCATGATAGTAGCAGTTCAGAGAATCTGGATCATGGAGATGTTCTCTCTGTTGCAGTTGCCGAATATTGCTCCGACGAGGAGTGGCAAGCATGCTGCATTGCTTCGTCACCTGTGTACGACTAGATGATGCCATAATGTCCCATTTAATGCCCGGGGTGACTGCTAAACCTTATCAAGTTTGTATGGTCATGTAATCGTACCTTGAATTAGTTGGACTGCTTGTCCTAAATCGTGGGCCAAAGCAAGGCTTCGTTAATTTGCGGGCAGATGAGCCCTGTATCTGTCTGCCAACTCAATTAGTATGACAGTGTTCAGTGTGACAGCAGGGACATGAAGCGGTTCTTGACAAAATTCAATCGCTGAGCTCGCATGTATGCAGGGCGCTCTGCAGTTGCTCCGCAACACATGATGATTCTCATTGCACCTTTGTTCATTGACTGCGATGTACATAATGCTGGTTCGATATGTTAGCAGGTTTTTGTCGTAGCAGCAATGGGCCGGCCCCGAAAGGACAGCCAGAAAGAACAGAGTGCGCCCAAGCGGCGCAAATCAGGACCTGAGAGGTCTGAGAAGGACATTAAAAAGGAAAAGGAGAAGTCTGACAGGAAGCCCAAAGTCAAGAAGGAGAGAGCTCCTTCTGAATACTCTTCAGGTTCTCCGTCTTCGGAATCCGGAGACGATGCCCCTGGCCAGCCATCGAGCACATCTCAGGAAACCCTTCAGCAGATGGAGAATATCGGCCTGGCTTTTGGTTTGCAGCTGGGACGAAGATCATTGATCATACGGTTCAACGGTTAGGGTTGCCATGCCAGTTGCCAGATAGCTTTATGCAATATGTGTTAGAATGCATATTGGACAGTTGCTGCATTGTTCTGAGGAAGCCGAAGCTTCTGCAAGTCAAGCGTGCACAGTTGCACCTTTCGGACTTGAGCGGTCCGCAGTTGGCCACTGTTCTTTCCGGGGTGGTTCCAGAGCTCACGCCATTGAGATTGCTCAAGCTCGGTGGGGAAATTGTTCAAGTGCCTTGACCCTGTGTCATTCGATGTCATGTTAATTGTTGTTTGGCCTCTTCCAGGCATAGAAAGGCTTACATATTTCTTGTAGCCTAGGTACGCAAGAGTATCAGTGAGCAGTGGAAGCAGCAAACAGCCGGCAGGAAGGACAACACAGACCTTGATGCCAAGATAGACATGGTCAAGAAGGAAGCTTCAGCCGAGAGAGTCTGGAAGCAACGACTCTTTACCATCTTCGACACAGGCTTTTCGTTTTGAGGGCCCTTTCTGATCTTTATTCCATTTCCCTCTTTCTCTCTCTGTCTCTCTGTCTCTCTGTCTCTCTGTCTCTCTCTCTCTCTCTCTCTCTCTCTCTCTCTCTCTCTCTGTCTCTCTGTCTCTCTCTCTCCTTCCGGTCTACTTCTCTTCCACTCTCCCTCTGTCTCTCTCTATGTCTCTCTCTATATCTCTGTCTCTCTTCGTCACTCTCACTCTCACCTCTCACTCCTCTGTCTGTCTCTCTCTCTCTCTCTCTCTCTCTCTCTCTCTCTCTCTCTCTCTCTCTCTCTCTCTCTCGACGCTGTGTGTTCGCTGTGTAGATATGTGAACATGTGCTGTTTTATTCTGCGAACCAAGCTTCGCCCATGATCGCAGTTTTGGGAGTGAGTCAACTGATGATTATCCGGCAGCATACGCACCTGGCCCCGATTCAGCAGTTCGCTGCCTGCAGGAAGTCTTCAGTGTTGCAGCAGACATTACGTGGTTTTGTTGTTTGTCCATGTTGTTTTGTTCGTCTTAGCTTGTTGCTCTTGTTCAGGTTGCTACGTGTGGAGTGGCAGCAAGTGCCTGAGACCACGAAAAAGGATCGTCGGGACAAGCTTTCGCAACAGATTGCGGAATGGGATGTTGAGGTTACTAAGGAAATGGATCTGCTCAACCAGGTCACGTCGCCTCCGCCCAAGGACAGATCATCCCGGGGTCGACGTGGGAGGCGCTTGGAAGAGGAGGACATTTCGGAGAAATCTCCTTGTCGTGAGTCCGAGGGCGGCAAAACAGTCGATGGGCCTTGCAAGCAGCCAGTGGGTAAGAAGAAGATAAATCAGAGCCTTTCCAGAGATGCTTCTCTCGGTGCTGAGAGCAGAGCAGGCGCAATGGATGAGGATTCAGCTGCCCAGGACGACGACGATATCGATGACGACGATAACGATATTTTTGGAAATCGTTTCAAGGGCAAAAAAGAGCAGCCGAAGCAAGCTCGTTTGACACCTCCCCCCCGGCCGGTTGTTCCTGAGACGCCAAAGCTTGAGACGCCGAAGCTTGAGACGCCGAAGCTTGAGACGGAGCTTCCTGTGCCTTGCCTGCAATGATTCAATGATTTCAATTTCAGAATCACGTGACACCTGAATGCATTCCAGAGTTCATTCTGAATGCTCCACCGTAATCCCCAAAGCCCTAAACACTCTAAACGATGACACTCTAAAGCCTTAAGGCCTCAAACTCTGATCTCACATAGTATTTCACGTACCTGCGGTTGTCAGTTTCCGATTCAGACAGTGGTTTGAACTTGTCATTTCTTGCTGTAGCAGCAGGAAACAACCCTAGGCATTTCAATTTCCTTGTCTCGAGCTGAACTGTGTGGGTGCAGTTGTCTATTATTTATATGAATGAATGTTCCTTAGGTATCGGGGCAATAAAGACACCTAGAGACAGAGAGGAAGAGACTGTGTGTGTTGTGGGGATAGGCTGTTAGTCGACTCTGATCGAATGTTGAAGTGGAGGCTTACACTTCTGTATGGATTGTATTGTGTGTTTCTCAACACCATGTAATGTAACCTTCTGCCTGCATGAGTCTGCAAGGTCTTCAAGTTTCTTGTTCTCGGAGTACCACTAGGTCGAGTGGATATAGTAATGTATGTGCGGGCAAACTCAGACATGATGCTCTTGTTCCCTGTTCCTCCATGTCATGTCTCGATTCCCTGTAAGGAGACGTCACTGGGTGGATTGACAGCGAATGCCTGTCGTCCATCCTGGATTGGCCTCTTGGAGGATGATCTCAAACTCTTCTTCAAGCGAGATTCAGACAAGCAGATTTTCGGATACATTATCTGTGCTGATGGCTTGAATGTTCCCTGAATCAATTGGAAGAAGTCATTTAGGGGATTAGCTGTGGGATAATGTGTCTTTAAAATTTCAGGTACTTTCTCTGGGCTTTGGGTGACAAGTTCACTCATGGTGAGCATTTTGTTAAGTTTGTGGCAATGAGTACCAGCCTGAGCGCTTCAAGGTTTAGGGACTGCCGTTGAAGTTGCAGTAATATCAAGTGACTGAGGGTTGTTCTGGTGTTCCTGGGATCGACGATGTTATGTTGCTCCTGAGCCTGACCTTATGCGAGCCTGAAACCCCATTCCATAAAGCATTCAGTTAGAGGTCCCCACATTAAGTGTCACCAAGCTGTCTTTCCACAGCAGACCACACCTAAAAATCAGCATTTTACAAACCCCCATTCTCGGCTCGAGAATGGGGGTTTGCAAAATGCTGATTTTTAGACCCTAAGCCCTAAACCCCCACTCTCTGCTCGAGACCTCAGCTAAATCTTAATATCTAATTGAAAGGTTCCCCTGGGACTTTTCGCCGGTCCCGAAATCAAAAAACATGTCCCAAAATCGTGCTGCTGCTTCCTGAAAAGGTGCCCAAATAACAATTCTTAGACGTGTGTTTTGATGTTTGTTGTGATTGGTATTTTCAGATGGACCCTCCTCGGCTAAACCTGTTGCTTATTTGCAATGTGAGGTTCAAAGGTTTGGAAATCCGATGCCCCAGCCAGGAACTTTAACTTAACCACCGCCTTGAAACTGTAAACCCCGATAGCGAGAGCAGTTGAAGTGGCCTCTAGCCTTTTAGTTCCTTCCTGAAGCCGTTGCTTCATGTGAATAAACCAGCCTCGAAGACCAATCTCGAACTCTCCATTTTTCTCATTGTAAACATTCACATCCTGAGATTCAGAAACAACCCAGGCCTGCACTTCTGGGCTTCGAAGTAACTCTGTAGGATCTGCTCTATCCGAGTCCTCCTTGGAAGACTTCATGGAAGAGGCTTTTGGAGATGGCGAGCACTACAGTCTCGCTGCTCTGGGTCGAGAGGCAAAAGTGCTTGCGGGAGAACTCTCGTTCATGGGCAAGAAATCGTTCGACAAGTGTTGTGCCTGGCTTTCTGAGCACAAGGACCGAATTCCAGGGCACATGACTCTCGAACAGCAGGTGACCACTCCCCAAACCCCATGCCCAAAATCCTTAATTTCATAGTTTAGGTTTCCTTCGACACAAGCTAATTCAGGGACTGCTCTTCTCTTCAGGAGGAGATTCTTCGACGAGCCGGTGGTTCTGTGGCTCGTGCACTTGAAGGCCACTGCAGTGTTTGACCTTCAGATCAGAGTCAGTCATAGCATTTTGCTCCTCAGCTCATGAGAGTCTGTGCGACTGACAGGATCTTTTGATGCAGCAGCCATTCCGCCAATTTTGCCAGGCAGCTGGTTGTGTTTATCAAAGACAGTGTTGTATTTGAAAACTTCTGGGCTCTGCTTGTTTACTGCATGCCCAGGAGCTACTGGTCTGGCGGATGTGAAGCCCGAGCTGGAGCAGAATCAAGGCGACACACACAAACACACATGCACCAGCAGGGTCAGAGACTGTGAGCTTCCAGATGAGTTCCTCCCTTGCAGGACCCTTGGCGAGTGTCGTCAAGACCGAGATGGATGCAGAGACGGCAGGTTTCATGACCGGTTTCCCTCGAAGAGTTGGCTGCTGTTGTTTTTTCAGTAGCTTCCTGCAGGTACGAACTCGTTCATGCCCATGGCACCCAAGGCTGGAAAGGGACCCAAACTTCACCCAGTTCCTGCTGCCTTTGTCGCTTGACCAGGCCGAAGCTTTCGAAGACTGCTACGATGACGATGATTAGGACCCTTCTGGAGAGTTCTCTGGCACTCCTGGCAAAACAGGCCTTAACTGTTTGCGCAGTGTTCCAGTTCTGCATGTTTGCAAGCAGCTTGAATAGGGCCTCTGTGATGCTGCATGAAAAGCGTCCTGTTGCTTAGCAGCAGACTTGAGATGTGATTCAGCAGACCACACCTAAAAATCAGCATTTTACAAACCCCCATTCTCGGCTCGAGAATGGGGGTTTGTAAAATGCTGATTTTCTGGCATTCTGTACGCTGTGCACTGACTAAACGATCTCCCATACATGAACGCGTGCCATTCTTGCACCGCTCTCCCCAACCAGCCGTGACGCAGGGTTACTTCTTACATGATCTACCGTCTGTTTGTTTCCTCAGAGGTATTTTACTAGTTTATGTTTGGAAACGCGTGCCATTTCCTTGGAGCAAACACACAGTGAAGTAAGTACTTTGCGCGCGCTACTAAATCTGCGCTCCTCTAACTATAAACGCGCTCCCAAAAAAAAAGATACCTGGGTTGCTGAACTTTTTGTGCCAGCAGGTGGTGCAAACATAAGAACAGTCTGCGGGAAACTGTGTTTGCAACTTTTTTTGGGAACGCGTGCCATTTGTTGGGAGTGGCTGTGCTGTGATCTGTTGCTTCGTGGCTGCACTGGTTGCAGCCGGTAGCTTTGCGAGGGTTGCTCAAGCCACCAGTGTCCTTGGTTTTGCTGCTCAAAGATGGCTCTGTGGCTCATGGAAGGGCAGTGGGCCTTGAACAGGCAATATGCTCCATATACCATTCTGCCTGTCGGTCAAATCTTGGCTTTATGGCGCTGCGAAGCAAGGTTGTTCCAGAGGAAGCGTTGGAAGGATATGCTTTCGTCTGCAAATGAACCGTGGCTACAGGACAGTTGCGATTTCGACCGTGTTGCAGAATTCTTGCATCATGCCCAGAAAGGAGATAAACTTTTTCTGCACGAGGAGTTATTTCTCATACTTGAGGACAGCTCTGCAGAAGGTTTTCTTGTGGCGGATTATGCTGACTGCATAACATCCGTGGTTCGTGTCTCCCGCAACTCCTTGGAGACTATGGACTGAGGAAAAGCAAATGTGCCCCATGCAGTGCACTGTTGCAGATGTGCTTGCTCAGTCTGATTTGTGCCGATGTTACGTGAAGTTGTCTTGCATTGCACATGCATGCAGCCTTTGACTTTGCTGCTTGGGAGTAGCAGAGTCGAGCTGCGGGGAGGGTAGATGGGTCATGAGTCCTTCGTGCGGGAGCTGCGCAGTCTGCTGACGGAGGCAGATGGTGCTATTCTGGGGTGCAAGACCGAAGAACAATCCAGAAAGCTCTGTGAGCAGACGCACGCAGAGGTTGCAGCTCTCCTCCTGGCCTGGAGAAAGAACGAGAAAGCCACTGTGGAGCAGCTTCGTCAGTGGAGCAAATCTGCCCTGGCAGGACTCGAAGTGGCAGTCCCACTGCCGCCACTTCCGCTGCGTCAGCAGCCTGTGTCTTCAGCAAGGCCTCCTGTGGACGATGCTTCCGAACCGGAGACAGATCATCTCGACTGGGAGTGGCTATTCTTTCCACTGGGCCAGGATGTGGTCTCTGTCATGAAAGCCTGAGCCTTTGGTCATGTCTTGGTTTCTGCCCAGCAATGCTCAGCCACTTCTATCCTTGCTTCACCCCTGGAATGTCAGGTCCAGGATCGACCGGAAATCCAGGGCTACAGGCATTTCTACTCCATGGCTGAGCTTTGGCGAATGAAAACAAGCTTCTCCTCATGGTGGAGCAAAAGCTTTCTTAGTGTTGCAGTTCCACTTCTGACAGAGTGGCAACTGTATCCCAATCATGTGTTTCGGCTGCATGCTCCATGTGTTGGAGCTGGGCGCAGCTCCTTCTGTAAAATCAGACATGTGTGTCTGTCCCGAGGTGACTCGCAAAGCCGGCTACAAGGGGGAGCAGAATGCAAGCAGCTTCGGCTTCCCTGTGGATGCAACCACGCTTCCAGGGTTCTGTGCTTGCATTGGCTGTTTTCTGCAGAATAGATCTGTTTCTGCCGATGCTCTGACAACATGCTGGGCAGCTGTGGAGTACTTTGACAAGCAGTGCGACTTCAGTGGCAGTTTGCTGTTGCTGCCAGGACGGCAGAATAGCAAACTGAAGGTGGAAGGCAACCGGGTGCTGCTGGAAGATTGGTCTCGCTGCACGGGTGCTGCTGGGTTCCATTTCCTGCCCGCCTCAACTGCGAGGTCAGTCGACTACCATAAAGCAGGGCAGTTGTCAGTACTGCAGTAACCACTAAAAGACTCCCCATGCAGAATTGTCTCCAACCCAACTGAAGTGTCCCAAGATGTTTTGTGCAAGCCTTTGAACAATTTTCCGGGGCCCCTCTCCGGTCCCCCCTTTAATCAGGTAGCCCAAAAGTTGTGTTTCTTCCCATGGGACATTATGTAGATGTAGACGGTTGTACTCTTGGTGCGAAAGGATGTCAGTGATTCGTTCGTCGGCCATATTCAGCTTCTGATGTGATGTGTCCCAATACTCACTTGACACCTTTGAGCCACAGATTGAGGCGACATGTCTCTTAAATTTTCGTCATCCTGCCAGTGTACGACTTGTGACCTGAGCTCTCTGTGCTTGCTTGCATAAGCCGTAACCTCGCATGCTGCAGGCTTTTTCCCAACGACAGGCTCTACATCACCTTGGGCAAGGCTCTGTATGTGCTCTTGGTCTCACGGCAGAAAACCTCGTTCAGGGACAACACGTCTGGTGTTCGTCTTACGAAAAGGGTGCTCCACACATGGTGTCAAAACATAGAGCTGAGAATGGAGAAAACTGACAGTCCGCTGCTGCATGAGTGCCCCGAGCCGGCACGTTGTGCTTCTTATCACCCATTACTGAAATACTCGAGAAAGCGCGGAAGCACAGTGCTGAAAGAGACGATCTTTGCAAGATTCGCGAAAAAAACCTCTGGGTTTTTGAGTACAAAGGACGAGCTGAATTTGCAAGAGTTGGGACTGGTTGGGACCAACAACAGACTGGCCAGTGCAACTGGGTCAGAGTATCTCATTCGGTATATGGCGAAGGTCTCAGAAGCTGCACAGACAAGTGCGCCAGAGAGCAAGCGGGTGAGATTCCTCAACTTTTGCATGGACAGTGCTAGGGCCTGTACTTTCGAGGCCAGTTTCTAGAATGTGAGGGTGATCCTTCTTCACACTGTAGACGAACAGCAAATGTTTGTCCATTCCTAGTGTCCAGGTGCTCAGCTTTCAGTTCCAACTGGAGAACAAAGCAGCTGCGATAGTCCAGCTGTTGCCGGATGCCACAAATTCGGCAGACAGTGCTACGACCATGCAAGCATTGCAGGTAGCACTGAGAGGAGGTGGCTTGGAATCTGGAGGGGCTCTTCTGAAGCCCACCTACAAGGAGTTGAAGAGGTACCGATCCTCCACAAAACAGCTTCTGCATGCCTTGCGAAACTGTTTGCAGCTGCTCATTCCAGGATTCTCCTTTGCTTCCTCGATGCCAGAGCACATCCTAGAGCCAGGAGAGAGAAGAGATCGCTACTTGCTGACAGAAGCCGAGAAAGAGTTGATGTTTGCCAACCCTCGCAGAGATTGGTATTTCTATCACGACAGCGAGGGCAACAGCATTCCCGATTTCCCCGGTAGCACCAGTCCGCCTCCCCTGCGCTTGATCATGGCAGGTGACCAAGGATCAGAAAATCTAGGAGCTTTTCAGCACCTAGCTCATTCTGGTTGTCTTGTGATGCTCTGGCCTGACATTCCGCATTTGGTTCATCGCCGTCAGGCAAATGCATTTTCTGCTTGTGCCGATGCTGCTCACCTGCTGAGGAAGGTGAGCAAAGTGTTTCGGGGATCTAAAGGACCTTACGGATCCTCAAGATTCGGTCGAGCTCGCAAGGAATCTCGGGCAAGGATGGTGTCATCCTTGGAGAATGACGAGGGTTCCAATCTGCTTGATGCCTGCATAGCAGGGTTAGCTCGGGATCAGGGACTGGACGCAAGTGACATGTCCCACACCAAAGCCGTGAAGATGTTGAAAAGCAAGTCAGGCCGGGATGTGAATAACCCCTTAGTCAGATTGCAAAGAACAGCAAATCCTTGACTAATGATGCACATCCAAAAGCCCACTGCAGTGATTGGTGCTCTTGCACAGGTCTGCTGCATTGGACCGGTGCCACAGAGTGTACAGCGGGACGATGGTTCAGTTGGTTTGACCATGCACAGCGCTTTGACCGTGCCTGGATGAAGCACTAAGTTCGAAACTTCACGCATTTCACATGGCTGCACTGGTGGTCTAGTCGTGCCACCATTTCTTCATCTTGCAAGGCACTTGGAACATGCAGCTGATGGAGCAGATGTTCTCCTACTGGGAGTCCGGTGAAAATCCTTACTTGTTGCCGACCACAGATGGAGATGAAAGCAAGTCGTACTCGATTCGAGCACTGACCTTTCAGGCCTGATGTGCATAAGAGTGCTGGTTGAAGAACATGCTTCGGTCTGGCAACGGGTTTTGTAGCTGCTGTATGTCGTGTACCTCCTGCAAGGTCCTGAGCGATGCGACCAACCAAGACAAGCTTCGTAGCTGCTTGCGAATCTTTGCGCCGGCTCGTGCATGGATGGGGCAAGTGGCTTCTGGGTTGCATATTCGTTGGCTGCTGCACGTATAGCCTGAGTCAAACCGTCATTCCTGAATTGCGCAGAAATTGAGGTGAAGGACCTTCAGGGCAACACAACGGCCTCTGTGAAACATTGTCTGGCTTTGGCGACAGGTGCGAGAGTGCAGCACCTTGTGAGGCAAGGAGTGTGAAACAAGGATGGAGTCGCCACTTGTGACTAGTTTTTTTGCATTGAATGATTTTCTCCCGTGTCCATGAATACAAAATGGCAGATCATTCATCGAATTGTATGCATGTACATCCGTACAACTTGGTCGTAAGTCTTCGGTGGGGTCTCGTGCTACTGCAGCTCACTCATCGTCATGAACATCGTCTTAGCATAAACTTGAGCTCCGATGAAAAGTTTATTGTCGGCCTGAGAAGCTGTGCCAAGCTTGTCACTCGCCCACCCCTGCTATGCACTGGCAGGGAGACCATTACTTCAGCAACATCATGGGCCACACTGGAAGCCATCAATGCCTCCAATCCAAGCTTGGATGCTGGGGCACAGGAGACCATGCAAATGCACGTGACCTTGACTTGCTCTTGGCTTGGATCCATGTATGAGTTGAGCGACCATTTCAAATGCTTTCCATGGAAATCAATCCTGGCATGCCACGAGCGCAGATTCGTGCAGCTTTTGGAGGCAATGCGAGTCGAGGTCGCATTCGTTCGACGCCTCGACGATTTGAACCGTCGAGGCGATCTCTACAAGAAGATGTCTTTCACCAGGTGGCAAACGTTTCGAGAGCTTCTTGTGGAGGCAGAGCAGCTTCGATGCATTTGGCAGTGCTTGGAAATACCGTGTGCTGTCTGATTACTTGCTAGCCATGTTACGTTACAATGCAATGTTGCTGCCAATTGCATCTCAGATCCATCAAGTATGATGCCGATCACCCGGATGCCGCTCATGTCCGAGAAATCTTTCTTTCTTGCTCAGGTTTGAGCTTGAACAATGTGGAAGCGAGCACATTGTGCTCGCTCGCATGCGAACTGACGTTTAATGACTTGAGAGATGCAGAAAGGCGGAGTCAGAAGCAGGAGATCCGGACTCCTCCAGCAGTGGCATGCTCTGCCATCAAATCCTCCTGGGGCAGAAGCCCCCTCGAAAAGATCGAGCTCCAAGCTCGTGATTGGTCAGACAAGGAAACACCGAGGCTTTTGAAAGCTTCCGTGTTGGCGAACCATCGCCAGAACGACCGTGATTTGGGTGTCCCAATGAGCGAATTGACAAATCAGCAGTTCTGCGCTCACATCACCAAGCCACACATCCTGCAGCAGAGGCTTCGGCTGTACTGTGTGCTCCTAGCAGAGTTCGAGGCTGACCGTGAGATCGACCTGGAGCAGTTGTGCTCCCGGTCATGGCCGTGTCGCATGCTCTGTCCCTGCACCTTGTGGCGCTTGAGTGAACAGGACGATGCCGAAACCAGGTTGGTTCTGCAAGCAGGACCCCACACGGTCCGCTATGCAGTGGTGGAGAATGTTTTGCACAACGATACCATTCACTACCGGCTCTCGGCATGCAGGACCCACATTCAGGAGACCTTGAGATTCGACGGTGTCACAGGGCAGCTGTCGCTAGCAGTGGGTGTTGCTTCCGAGCAACATGGGCTCTTGCTGCAAGCAGAAGCCTGGCTGCCTCCTGTCAGGTACCTTCTCTCACACTCCATCCTGAAGGTCCCAGCTGGTTTCATCGTGCAGTTCTGTCAACTACATGGCCTGGGAGGTGGGAAAGCAACCCACCGTGATCGAGTACAGCGCCTCTTGGAACACGAGAACTACCCGCAGGAATACATCGATGAGATCTTGGAGCAGTTGCCCGAGCCCCGTCCACGCAGAGCTCGTGCCGCTGCAGATGGCCGTGATGCCACCCAGACAATGATTTTTCCATGAAGATGTCAGGGCTTCTGAGTCCTCAGGGTTTCTGAGGTTGTTCGTCCGTATGTTACAGGAGATAAATTTTGTAGACGAGTTAGTGTTGTGTGACTCCTGGGCTGGGTTAAACAAATAAACAACTATTATGTCAAAAAGGCCCGAAATGTTTCTTGACCACGTTGAACAGTGTGGGGCTGTTTGTACAGTTTTTAGCATGTAGGCTTTGAACAAAAGAGTTATCAGATTAAATGCAAAATCCGAGGCTGAAGATGAGGATACCGCTTCAGAAGACGAGCAGTGCGAGAATGAGCTAGCCGAAGCTCTCGATTGTGAGAATGATGATGCCGCTGGCGAAGCGGCTGCAGATGATGAATCTCAGGAGCCCGCCGGCCCCATTTTGGTGCCCGGGCCTGCCGATCACCCAGCTGATTTTGAAATCGATGCAGAGGGCGAGGGTATGGCTGTGAGAGTGGCAGCGGAAGCATCTTGAGTGCACGCAGTTTTTTTTTGACACGTGAAATAAGCAAGAAAAGCATTAACCTCCTTGTTGGGGTCGTTACGGTTTTTCAAAGACCACCGCATCTGACATCACGTGACTCAGGAAGCTGCAGTGGCACCAGATGAAAGACGTCGCCTACCGCCTCATGGTTACCAAGTCCCACGGCACGAGCTTGCCCCAGGAACTCGCGGCTGGATCGGGCGTCCTACTGATGCAGCTCCTTTCTTGCAGATCCGGATTGTGACTGGTGCTCGCCATGGCGGAAAGGCCTCTAGAAGTTGGTCGTTTGTGCCCCCGAATGGGCAAGCTTTGCCCCGAGGGGTCACACGAACATGGGTTCAAGCATGCCTTGCCGGCACTGCCTGGTCTCACGAGTGGTTTGCCAGTTTGTCAGACGACGAACAGAAACGGGTTCGTGATACGTTTCCTCCACAGTCTCTGCCTCCTCCTGAAGAGGAGGGGCACAGGGTGGCACGGAGACCAGCTGATGTAGAGATCGGCAACGATCGTCAGCGCCAGAGGGTTGCCGAGTGAACTTAAAATATGGTTACTAGACCATGCGAGTCATAAGCTTCCATTAAAGAGTTTGTCAAAATAAGCACTTCGACAACGGGTGCTTCTCTTCTGGCCTGAACGTGCAGCACAAGCCGCTGGGAGCAGGCGCCGAAAACATTCCGAAAGCTACGTGTCCAGATTTGTGCGTGCTGTCAAGCCCTTGATGAAGTATCCCCACCCTCCTGGGACATCTTCGCTAGAAAGCAAGAACAGGCTCCGACATAATGTATTTGATTAACTAAATACCAGCTAAAAATATATGAAACCACGTTAGCTATGAAACGTGGGGAAAGTTACATTAGATAAACCCTTTCCAGAAACCCTAAACCCTAAACCGTAAACCTTAAACCCTAAACCCTGAACCCTAAGTCATTGGGCAGGCAAGGGCGGCGAAGATGCCCGGCACAGCTCCACCCAATCGGCAAATCGTTTGCAGGCCTTGCTTTATCCAGCTCTACCCGATCTGGAGGCAAGGAGTGGGAACGGTTCCACAGATCCGAAGCAGCGTTCAGAGCGAGCCTACACGAGAGTGAAGCTTCCAAGGAACTCTTCAGTGTGGCTCGGGCCCTGAGCCAACTCTTCGGCTGTGGGGCGGGGCGTGTTCTTCTGCGATGCATACATGCATTCGATGAAGACACATCCGCGCCTGCCGCTGCAGAAATGTCACCAGGCTGTTCAGTGGTACACTTTTTTACTTTCAGGTTTCTGGGTTCCTATTATTAAATAAGAGGTCTAAAAAGTATAGGCTTTTTTCCAGTGGGTTACTCAACATCCTAGGTCGGGGACACGGAAGGGCGAGGCTATCACTAGAATTGCCGAGAACTTGGTGCGCAATTTTAGATCGTATAGCCTCGCCCTTCATGCACGTGTCCTTCGAAAGCAGCAGGGTCATGGCAGTCAGCCTTTGAGCAACCTGCTGGGTGTCGGCCGCCGACTGCTTTCGGCCGATTTCCTCGTCTACCTGCTTCTCTTCAAGGACTTGATGAAGAGTCAGCGCCACTTCGTGCTCAAGATCCAGAAACTGGAGTTTCCATGGCAAGCTGAAGCTGCTTTCCAAGAGAAACAGAAGCAGGTGCACGAGGACATGAAGTTGGTCAATGAGTTGAGGCAACTCGTGGCGGTTTCTGGGCTGTTGCTGCATTACGTCGACCCTTGCAGCCTGCGGTGTATGCTCCGGGCAATGCTCTATAAGCCGGTTGGAAGACGCTTCCCTGGTCTCATGCACGCACTTCCAGGCGTGATCTCTGACCGAAAGTTCCTGGCTGGCATTTGGCCCTGTGCTTTGTGTGCTTTGGAGGGTTGTCCTTGAGACTTAACGATCCTGAAAGCAGTCCAGGTTTCGTGGTGTCGAGCTGCAGTCGATGGTCGACCTTCGCCCGGGCACCATGTGTCTGACACCGCGGTGTGTTTGCTTGGCCAGAGTCAAAGAAGGACGCTCCGACATATTCTGGGTTTCCCGCACCCTGACGCAGCACATCAGAGGCAGGATGTGTTTGATTGCTCTCCGCAAGTGTTTGGGTTGGCGAGATATAGCAGGTTATCCCAGTAGAAACTCATCTAGGGCCACGCAAAACAAAACGCGTAAACTTATGCAGGTCAGAGACGATCACGTGAAGTGCGAGTTCCGCATTGGGTGGCTCACTCAGATATGACACCAGCGGATGCAAGAAGAGATGCGCAGCTACTCCCTGTGGACGCTCCCTTGCGATACCAGACGGTGCCGACACCCCGCATTCCCGCTTCTTGCCAAAATCAGCCCACACAACCTTTTTTTCCCTGGACCTTGTATGTTGCTGTTGTTCACTGATTCACGTTCTCCTGAGGCGAGGCTTCAGGGAGTTGAACTCTTCCGTGTTCATCATTATCAGTGTCAAACTTCCCGATTGGTGCCGGATGTTCTTGACAAGATACAGATGGGGCTGAAAGCAGGCTTGCATTTTCAAGAAAAGCTTGCCATGCAGTACAGCTTGTACTGGGGTTCTGTGGGGCTTCCAAGGGCCCTTCAGAACATCTACACAGATGCTTGTCTTGGTTCATGCGCTTTGCTTTGCTCTATAGTTAGTACACAATGAAAGCGTGAACCTTGTTGACCTTGTTCCACATATGCCCTGGTCGAGGACATGCTCGCCTGCTTCGACTTCAAGCGTCTCTTCGAGGAGCCACTGCAGGACTGCCAGAAGCAAGCTGTTGTCCGGCTTGCTGATTACTTTAGATCTCGAGCTGATACAATGGTCTGGCCTGACTTTGACTACGTGTCCCACAGCTGGCCAGATTCAAAGGAGATTCAACGGCAGTTCCATGTCTTTTCCCGGATATTGCGGGACAATCGTGGACGTCCCAGTTGGCACCGAACTGTGGCAGCCCGTGTCTCTTTGCTTCAGCCGCAGCCGCTGCTCACCGGCCTCTCCAAAGCCGGGCTGGAAGGTTGTTTCCGTATGCTGCCGTCGTCCTGCCACGTCCCTCGCAAAGAGGTTCTTCGCATTATTGCCGGCAGGGTCAATGCTTTCCTCGAGAGAGCGCCGTCCTTTTCAGATTCTTGGTTGACAAAGTCTTTTGTCACATATTTCAGTTCCCTTGCTTGAGGCGACTTAGCTGTTTTAAACAATCTGCATCAGGTGTCAATCGGAAACTTGATGCACTGCAGCACTGGCTATCGCGGAATTCGGAGTCACAGAAGACTCGGCCGGGAAATCAGGCCCGGCGATTGCGTCCGCCTGCTGAAGCATCCCGGTGGACTGGCGTTGGTGGACACCTTGGAGCGCGAGGTTGACTCGGTTGCAGTCGTCGCTTCTTTTATGCAGGAGCAAGAGCTGCATCAATTCCGCCTTCGAAATCGTTCCACGCACTGTTGGCACATGGTGTACCTCCTGTCGCTTTGCAGCTGTATGAATTCACAATCATGTGATTGTGAACGAGTCGGAAGCCACTTACACCAGGTGGAGAGCGGCGGCACCGTCCGGTCACCGGCCAGAGTCGCAGACAGACTCCGGTTCAAAGTGTCAGGGGTCAAAGGCATCGGTGGCGTCCGGGACGAAGCTCTTATCAGGACACTGGTACAAACGCTGCTTCTGGCGAGGAAACGCCCCTTCGTCCAGACAAAGCAGCGAGGCGTCAGACGCAGGTTGGGCGATCCAACTTGCGGGCATCTAGGGTCAATGCTGTTGATCCAGGATGCCAACAAAAGAGGAAACAGTCAGCACGCTGGCTGCGGCAAAATGCAACTGTGCCACAGAGTCCATGGGAGTGGTAGTTATGGAATCGTCGCTGCAAGTTCCTGATTTCTGATCCTGTTGCCAGCATCACTCCTACATCCATGCAAAACCCATGACTGTGAACCCTGCTGTTGGAGGCAGCCTCAGCAGTCCTGCAGTGCGGAACCCAGAGTCGAGTTGGGAAACACGAATTTTTAGGGATATTCAGCAGTTTTGCTTGACTGCCTCTCATGCGCAGCTCTGGATTGTGCATGCAGTGCGGTGAGCTTCTTTCACCTTGTGCTTCCTGTGGCTCCTGCAGCAGAGATTGCACCAGGCTAGAGTCGGCTAGAGTGCATGAGAGCATTGCTTCACATAGTCCATTGAATCTTGAAGTGCAGCAGCTGTGCCCATCATGGAGAAAGATGGGGCACCTGACATTGTGCGCCGTGGTGTCAGGGTCAGTGTGCTGGATTTGAGCACGGACCCCGAGTTGTCAGGATGGAGGCCTCTTGATGCTCGCAGGCTCGAGGAGTTAAAAGCTTCCGTCCTCGCGGGGAAGCTGAACCAGTCCATCATGAACAAGGTTGCTTGTTTCCAGTTCAACTTGAAATCTTGTTGAGTTGTGCCTCCTTTGTTCTGTTGGTACCCATATAGCATCCAAGGGCCTCACTCTCCTCGGCGATGGAATGCACTTTGTCAAGGTGTTGCAACTGCTTCATGCGGAGCTCCAAGATGGGTCAAGGGAGGAGTCCAGCTTGGGTGGCAGGCTTCTGGATTGCCTTCAGAATGGTATTTATGTGGATCATGTGGTCTTCCCGGAGCAGGACAGACTTCACAGAATTATCTGGTACACACATTGCCACGACGAGGAGGAGAATAAGTTCAGGCCCAGCAGCCTCTTCGACAAGATGTCCCTTATCCACACAATGAAGGCGCAGGCTGCTGGTGGATCCTTGGACGAAGTCAATGCGAAGTTGATCAAAGTGCTCGGTCCAGGATCTCGAAGCAAAGTCCAGAAGTGGACACGTTTGTTTCGCGGGCTACATGACTCCATCCGAGATGCCCTGCCCCGATATGAACGTGTGCCGCATGGGTATCTATTCGATAACCCATACTTTTGCGGGCAAGGTCACCAGTCATCTTGGCGTCTGAATGCTGACGACGGTCTCCTGGCCTTGGATATGGTCCTGGCCGAGACTCGACTGCAAATTCCGTGCTAGTGCTTGTTGCAATCATGCAATGACAGAGTTGCTACAGTGTGTAGTGAGACAGGTATCATGCAATGGCCGACGGTTCAAGTATTAGTTTTGCGGGCCTCGCTCATAATTGCAATGGCTGCACCAACCATGCACACAGAGATTGAAGATGAAATCTCCCTGGTCCCATTGCAAGCAGATGGATTGCAGGGAGTGGTACCAGATATGACAGGTGGATGGGTAGGTTTTGTCCCGAAGAGGCAAGCGTCAAAGACCAAAAAAACCTCCGAGAACGTCCAAGAAAGAAGAGAAGCCTCGTAAGGCTGATGCACGGAAACGAAAAAAGTCAAAGGAAGCCCCTCCACTCCTGACAGCTTCTGACGTGGAGTCAATGATGCAGCAAGCCTATGACGATTCAGGCCGAGTGGATGGGTTTCATGCCGCAGTCGCATGTTTGAGGGAGACCCAACTCAATTGAATCATTGGGAGCCTTAATGCCAGGCTGCCAGCCCATTTTCTTGGAGCTTTTCAGCTGCGCATGGATAGACAAGGGTCAAGTGGCCGCTGCTCTTTGGCAGCAGACTTGAGCATGCAGCTTTGCCCCCAAGCCTCTCCAACATATGTACATATGCCGAGGTTTGGCTGTCTCCTCCTTGCAATAGCTGGTCCTGTGCACGACGTGGTCGCCGGTCAGTGGGCCGTCGCGGGTGGCCACCCAAGCTGCGGTCCAAAGAACACCTGTATGGCATTCCTGGCATTCCTTTTCTGGACAGTGGTCCATATTTGTCTTGTCCAGTGTCAGTGCTGGTTGCTCCTTTGCTGTTTCACTCCTGCCTGTGCATCTTCCGAGCTGTCTTGCAGGACAAGGACCGGCAGACCTTGGATCAGGGCAACAAGACTGCAAAAGTTTCCTTTTCGATCGTACAGAAATGCATTGACAATTCAGTGGCCAGTGCGCTGGAATCCCCACAGTCGTCTTTGCTATTTCATACAGACGAAGCCTTGGAGCTCAGCCAGTCCCGGCTCCATCACCAGATGGATGTCAGCATGTGTGCCTTCGGTGCCAGTTTTAAGAAAAGCACGCGTGTCAAGATTTGGAAGAGCGGCTTTACTTTGTTTCCCGACAGACAGCTGCGCTGTGTCAAAGCATGCAATGCGCTTGGCAAGCAGGTTTGCGGTTTTACCCACAAGCCGCATGAGGTTCTGAGTGGTGTTGCAGGCAAAAGCTTCAGAACCAAGTGTGCAGAGCAATATCCTCAGGGGTTCGCATCCATGTTCTTCCGGTTGCTGTGCCCCAGCCCCGTTTGACATAGCCATGTCATTGTCATTGTACAGATTTCAAGGGGGCAGATAGCTCCACTGGAACAGGGCAAGTTCGGTGATATCTGTGAGTGGGAGTCCAGACTTCGCATGCCGAATGAGAAGAAAGTGGGTTCTCGTGAGTAAGCTTGCAATGCAGGGCAGCCCCACCAACACCTGTTGTGCAGAGAGATTCAGCATGATCTTAGGATCTGGAGGACCGGAGGCCGATGCTACTTGGAATGCACTTCTTCTTGCAAGGTACACAGGTCTCCTGGCAAGCCTGTTCCTGCTGGACAATGCTTCCATGACCACAACTCAGGTCAGAGTCAAGGTTTTCGAATGAGATATGCAGCCCACTTCAGGCTCTCCAGTCCTGGCAAGTGCAAGTTTCCAGGCAGTTCGGAGCATTGGCCACTGGCTCCAATGCCTTTTGGAGGGTGTGTGCGAGCCTCCGGACAAAGCCAGGTCGGGTTGTGCTTTGGGATAATTTTTAATGTCCCTCACTTCCTTCTAAAGGGAACCTATTCATAAATAATTTTCAAAGGGTTTAAATTTCAACCCAGTAGGTCTCGCTTCTGTGCGTGAATGCCAACGATCCAAAATCGCGTTACACGGACGGAGCTCGAAGGCCACTGGCATTCCCGATGCTCGGCAGGAATTTAATGTTTGGAGTAAGGACTGTCTCTGCAAAAGTAGCCAACATGTTTGCCTGAGGAGTGCTGTGATCTGTGGAAGCAGTTTTCGCAGCGGCGAGCTTCTGATGCCAAAGAAGCGGAAGCCAAAGCAAGGGAAAAAGCAATGGCTGAGGCCAAAGAGAAAGAGTCAGAGATGCAAGCCGCAAACCAAGCAAGCGACAAGGTCAGTGTCGATGACAGTGGACATGTGAGAGTTCCGGTTGTCATTGAGGAGGATGAAGAGACCCCGCCAGAAGATCCGCTTGTTGTGGAAGCCAGGACAGCTGCCAACAAGGAATGCGACAAAGTTCGTTGGTTCACCGACCTGAAAGAGTTGAAAGAGCAGCTGAAGCTTGAGGTGTTGGCGAGCAGCCACTCGGTCGTTTTCCTCCAAGATGCGCAAACGTCCCGGTTGAAGATCAACAGCACCTACCTGGAAAACATTGGTGAGCTTGTTCAGGAGCTGGATCTTCGTCGATGGGCGGTTGTCGTGATCCTCGGAAGCAGATTTGATCTCATCGATCCCCTCCTCAAGCGTGGCCAGGCTATCTTCAAATCGAACGGGCGGGTGATGCTCTGTCAGTTGACGCCAGGAAAACTTCAAGGCAAGAACATCAAGGGTCATGGCTTGCCTTCTTCGTGCATTGTGGTTCACCCCAATGCCAATGCGCCTGAAATTCCTTACAGTGCCCCGATCCTCTCCGTTCGTGCAGCATCTGTGGAACAGACACAGTTCGGCTGTTGCAGTAGGAACTGTCCGCTTCGCAGCGAAGAAGAGGCGGCGAGTATTCCCCCGCCCGGGCAACCGCCTGTCTCTGAGATTCCAGCCGACGACAAGGAAGGGCCATATGATATCTGCTGCGATGGTGACGGAGAGTCACAGTCACAGGTGCCCGCCGAAGATGACATTGACGTGCAGCAGCCACCGGACCCAGTGTCAGATGACGGCCCCCGCGATTACCCGATCGACGTCTTTCCATTCGCTCGTCCGTGCAGTCCTTGGCTGCACATTCAGTGAGTGGTCGAGAGCAAATTGTCAATTGTGATGTGGCCACGTATTGCTTGCGATATCCACCAAGGATTCTACAAGGCGCTTTTGACAGATATCGTGCAGCTGTCCACTGCCACTCATATGGTAACCTTCACAACAACTGCCCACCCTGGCTGTGCCTTCGCCGCCCGCGCGTTGAACATGGCTCCTCTTCCCAACCTATGTGCCCGAGTGTTTTCGTGTGTGATTTGTGTCACCGGTCGTTTCGAGCACTTGCTGTCAGGAGTCATTGATCTTTGCCGCACAGCCGAAGCCCCACTCCATGAAGCATGGGAAGAAAGTGTTAGAGGCTTATTTCTTTGCACAGAAATTGGCTGCTCTGCAAAAGAAAGCCGGTCCCACACCGACTAAGCAGATCCTGACTCCAGAGTCACTGATGTGTATTGCTGGTCCGTGCCTCTCGGCTGAGAAGCAGACCATTGAGTGGCTGGAGGTGGATGCGGATCCGACCGATGCTTTTGCTGGGGTGTCCTGGTATGGTTTGGGAACGAGTGATCTTTCTAAGACAGGCCCATGTTGTACGCTTGTTTGATTCGACCTGCTCTCCAACATGAGTCCAGGTGGATGCTGTGCCTTTGGAATTGAATGAGAAGGTCCAAAAGCGTTTGATGACTGAGCTCGACGAGCACCAGCTCACCGTCCAGCAGACGGAGGATCGTGGCAAGACCCTTGTAACGTTGCGCCGCATCGAAGAAGGTGAGGTCGTTATGTTGCCGTCGTTCTTGCTTTTCACAGACAAGCGCACAGCGGTGACATTTTTACGGCGGGATGACAACATGAAGCATGCTGACGCAGTGCTCCAGGTGCAGGGTGTTCTGCACAAAGGAGTCAGGACGTGTTACTACCTGGTCTTGCTTGGTGCTGCGCGATTTCTCAACGACTTTCAAGGGTCAGACAAGACAAGTGCAAATTGCCGGATCGACATTGATCCGGCTCGTGGCCCCAATACCGGGGCGGTGAAGTTGGTCGTTGCCACAAAGATACCAGGCTAATTCCTTAGCAATAGTTATTATTTGGGCAAGTTTCATTATTGAGCCGAATCGTTGAGCCTATGAAATATGATTGTCAAATGTGCGGCCCAGGACGGGGTGCGGCATCCCTGCCAGGGCCGAACTCTTGATTGCTTACGGGAGCCGTGTTTGGCAATACATGCCCGAAACAGGCAAAAGAAGGATGACTGACTATTTTTCTCCTACGGCTCCAAAATCAGAGGTTCTTCCAGAGTCAGAGGAAGGGCTTGGGGTCACCCAGCCAATGGAGCAGGATGTCAAGCCAGAGGTTGAGGGTCAGGGTCAGGATAAATCTGGTGACAACGCGGACAAACCTGGTGACAACGGGGAGGTTCAGAAAGCAAAGAGGCAGAGGAGATCAAGCGGCAAGAAAGCAGAAGCAGAGTCAACGGCACCACCAGAGCAGAGCAACAACAACGGTGACGACAAGAATCAGCAAGCTGATGCGGAGAACCCCCCGTCGGCCAAGAAGGCGAACGGAGACGCCACAGAAGATTTCAAGGAACATGATGAGACCAAGGCCAAGAGTCAGAGGGCGAAGGCCAAGGCCAAGCCAAAGGCTGTTGGTAGACCCATCAACATGGATGGCTTCGTGCAGGTCGCTGAGTTGGCAGATCCCCCCGTGAAGCTCGTGATTGGCCCGGTGGATGGGAACGACACCTTGTGTATGGTCAGTGACTCGTCTCCATAATTCCATAATTTCACTGGAATGTTGTTCAATTTATAGATGGGTCATTGCAGTGACGAGGCAGTGCGGACAGCTCCCGGCAAGTGCCCAAGAACATCGTCATGCTTTGGGTCGGCGACGGCAAGCTGCAGAAGTCGCAGGGGGAGCCGACACCAGGGTCATTGGTATACCCTGATTCCAGAACTCAGAAGGGCATGTGCCTAGATTTTGAGTCAAAAACGTTTTCCACGCTCAAAGATCTTGCACGCAAGTACAATGTCAGTGACATTCTTGGCTTCCGTTCGTTCCCGCCCGGAGCCCCTGGAGACTTGGCTCCTGACAGCACGACTTGGGTCATGGAGAGCGTCAATCCTCTGATCCCGCGGCTTAAGCTGGCTTCGGACGCCATCGATCATATGGGATGGGTCTGGTGCTTCGTGGTTAGAAATTCGAAGCTCGTACCAGCAGGCCTTTGGGCTGAAAATCGCCTACATACTGCGATCATGTAGCAGGCTGTCGAGCATGTCATCCATATCTTGAGCCTGAGGTGCCGCCTTCGTGTCATTCAAACAATTGGTCCTGCAACCGAACCTGATGTACAACCTGCCCATGTAGAAATGAACCGGCCGGTATCTGTAATCTTGCTGCCATCCCTGCTAGTTTTGCTGTGCAATGACGGCATCATGCTGGAAGTCAGAGTCAGGAGTGCTCAGTAACTCTGATTCTTTGGAGTACCGGAGCTGTCATTGCGTCGATACGATTTTGAGACCTCCCGGATTCTGTGGGCCCAAGTTTCTTTCAAGACAAGCAGTGATCTTTGTTTACTTTCGACACTTTTAGTCGATATATGATTCTCCAGAGTCAGAGGTCACGACAGAAGTCCCAGAAATATTCTGGGTGTTTAGAGTCGGAGCAGGCCAACTGCCTGTCAGAGTCAGAGTCAGTCACCAGCTGATCTTCGCAAGTTTTGCATCTTGCGGCTTCTTGTGGTATTATGCACTAGAGAGGTTATGTGAGCAACTATCAGTGTCAATGAAAGCCGCAAATACCAATCCTGTTTGGGCTTTTTAAAGAGATGCAGCTAGCATGAAGGCAAAAAGAAGGCTTCTGAATGCTCCTCTTCTTGCCTCGCATGCTTCGAATCTTTCAGACCCTCATTTCTGTCCCCTCTCAGGTCGCTGGCGGCGCCGCTTTGCACCAGATGCATCGGCGAAAAAAGATTTGCAAGCACATGCACATTTGCTTTCGCTGTGATAGTGCTGTGATGTTGGCTTTGGGGGGTCCAGGATGTGATTTTGAGGAGGGCGATATAGCAAAGCCTGTCCCTTATAGTAACCCTTATAGATCCCTTATAGTAACCCTTATAGACCCCTTTATCGGGCGCAAGAGAGGGGTTCAGGTAGGGGATTTTCGGTCAAGGCTTCCGGGCTCCCAGGCTTTGCAGGTTCGGGCTGTGCTTGCGGTTTGGAGCATGGCCGCGATGGTTCGTAGTCGTAGCAGTAGAGTAGTAGTAGTAGTAGTAGTAGTAGTAGTAGTAGTAGTAGTAGTAGTAGTAGTCGTAGTAGTCGTAGCAGTAGAGTAGTAGTAGTCGTCGTGGTGGTGGTGGTGGTAGTAGTAGCAGTAGGAGTGGGAGTACTGTTGCTGATTGTGCATCTGTTTTTTTGTCGTTGTTTTCTGTCGTGCGACTTGTCTAAGAGCCCTCAACCGCTGAACCCTCCTAAACAACCTGAATGCCTGAACCCGTGAAGGGACCCCGTTGACATCAAGGCCCCTTAAATTATTAAAGAAGGGATCCTATATCCTAAACCCTCAAAGGAACCCTTTCAGGAACCTTACCATGGCTATATAAACCTTACACCTTAAACCCTGAACTTTAAACCCTAAACCCTAAACCGTCCTGACCTTCCGTGCCATGCAGACGATCCGGTTCTTTGACGACAGCGCTGGTGACGAGGACAAAGGCTCTCGGGCCAGAGTTCCCGGGTGTTTTTTACCACTTGGGCAGTTCTCTAACTTAGGGTATAGAGCCTGTAGTATAGCCATGTTTTCCGTTTTTTTTCGACCACTCGTGTAGTTCTCTAACTTAGGGTATAGAAAGATCCTAAAAGGGACCCTAGTTTAGAGAACTAGCCACTTGCTAGGGGCCCTTTAAGGGTTCTTTAGGGTTTTGGGACTACCACTTGTTGCAGGTTTAGGGCTTATAGGCTACTTATAGGGATTCGGCGTTTTTGGGTTCAGGGTCTTAGGTTTGAAGGCTTGGGGTTTCGGGGTTGAGGTTTTGGGGTTATTTAGAGTTGCCACTGCTGTGTTGAGGTGAATTAGGCACTTTAGGAGATAATAGGGTTTTGGGCTTCGGGTTTAGGGGTTGGGGGTTGAGGGTTTCGCTGCTATAGGGTTACGTTTTTTCGCAATTTGCAGTCCGATCGACTCGGGCTCAGGGTCACGAGGGGTTGAGAAAAGAGAAGCCAGCACTCAGAACGTGGAGCTGTGCTTCTCTAAACCCTAAACTCTGAACCCTTTTTCCCAAACCTTTTACACCTTACCTGGAACTTGCTAAAAATACATTCTTTGCTCCTAGGGTCTCTATAGATTCTATATCAGCGCCAAAAACAAGAGCCTTCGAATAAGTAGGCTCTGGCGGCTAGGGCAGGTCCATTTTTCGGTTAGGCTCGAATCGCTGGAAGCATGATCTGCTGGGTGGAGAATCGGATTTGTGCGGTCAAGCCGAAGTCTTCAGCTATTGTCAGGCTCGGGTTTCACTTTTCGGTCTTGAAGAGTGCATGGATAGGTCGTAAGAAGAAGGTTCAAGATTTTGGAGGGTTTGGGGAGTAAGGTTGAGAGTTAAGCGTGTGCAGGACTGTGGGGTTCTTACTTATGACACTTCGCGTATATGCTCTTTGCACATATTTCGGTATACGTCGCCCCCATACTGTCGACTGAACCACTTCTGGCACCTTTGACTCTAAATCCCAACCCCGCAACCCCAAACACCGAACCCCGAATCCAGACATGAGCCTTTCATTGACTTCATGGAATCTTTCTAGATCCCTACCAAAAACTCCGACCAACAAGGCTAACTGCAGTAAACGTCCGAAGCCCTAAACCAAAAATCCCGGTCTCTGAACGGAGCCTAAGTGGAGGTATGAGAACTTCAGAAAAGTTGCACGTTCTTCGTCTATCTATCTCGAGCATGCAAGGATGCTCGGCTGGGGCTTAAAAACGCAAGGGTCCTGTGAGGGCTTTCGTATATCTGGTTTTAAGTCGTTAATCCTGGTTGCAGCAGAAGAGTTTCAGACAGTTCGCAAGGGGTTTTCGGTGCCTAAGTAGGATGCGTAGAGGCTCCTGGAATCCCTAAACCCTAAACCGTGTTTCGGTGCTTATGTGGCTTTGAGGCTTTCGGGTTTTTCGGCCTGTTGAGGGTGTCTTGGGGTTTGTGGGTGGCTTAGGGCTCGGAAGTTTTTTTAGTTTTTAGGGTTTAGGGCTTTGGGTCTAGGGTTTAGGGTTTAGGGTTTCCGGTTTAGGGTTTAGGGTTTTGGATCTTCATTCTCTTAGGTGACCACGAGTTTGACCAATTTGCACGTTCTCAGCTGGAAGGCTGGCAGATCATTACCGATGCTTTTCTGGGGGTTCCTTCTTGGAACTTGCAATACTGTGCACTCCAAGCATTATTCTAATCATTCAACCCCCCGAAGCCTCTATAGAACCCTGAGGCAACTAAACTCCAAACCCTAAAGCTACACCCCCAAACCCTAAACACGCAACCCTAAACTTCCGTAAACCCCAAACCTACCTTTGGGTCCGGAGCCCAAGAGAGTTCCCGAAAAGTCTGGAAAGCAGGCGATCGAAAGTCCAGTGTCCATTTGAGGGTTCCTTAATAGTTCTATGAGGGCTCCGTTAATGGATCTGCAAAGGTTCTAGGGGTTGGGTTCAGGATTTAGGGAATGTGGGCTTTGGGTTGGGTTTACGGTTTCGGGGTTCAGGATGTAGAGAATGTAGAGACGAGCCACCGAAAACCGGCGGACTGTACCATGATGGGTCTTCACTACAACACTGCATACTTGCTATGGAAATGATCGTCATGCTCCTACCCTGCAGAAGCATCCTCAGCTATGTTTAGTTTGTAAAGAGAGCGGTTCGAGTATCGCTCGACTTAGTTTAGAGTGCTCTCGTCATCTCCCTGGTGCAGGGGGTGGGGGAATGCATCCCTAAAGAAGTCCCTACATAATCCCCAATAGTAGTCCCCATTCCCTACTAAAGAACCAGACAGTCATAGTGGACTAGTCAACCCTAAACCCTAAACCCTAAACCCTAAACCCCTAAACCCTAAACCCTAAACCCTAAACCCTAAACCCCTAAACCCCTAAACCCTAAACCCCTAAACCCCTAAACCCCTAAACCCCTAAACCCTAAACCCTAAACCCCTAAACCCTAACGACCAGAGGGATCGAAGCCCCAGGCCTCCCCCCGAGAGCTCGCCTGTCCCAACCCTGATAGCGACTGCTTGTAACACGCACCACAGGTAAAGAGAAAGCCGTTCCAAAAGAAGGGCAGAAGTGAGATGCTAGGACAGCTGCAGTTCGCAGCCAGAGATTGATGGCTCCTTGGGCCTTCCGGCAGTCCCAGACGCGATTTCCTCTGTCTGAGAGCCGGCAGATCCCGGCCAAGACTGCCAAGCATTCACTCTACCGAGACTTTGAGCTCGACCCACACCCTCCTGAACCCCTACAGTAGAAGCCAGAAAGTTGGAATATCACTATCATAATCCCTTTAAGGTAAATTATAGGGGATCCTGCCATTATTCCATATTCCAACTTTCTGGAGTTCCCTTTATATGGGTAGTTCTCTAAATTAAGATCCCTTTTTTCGGGTTGATAAAAAAAGCACCCCGTAAGGGACCCTAGTTTAGAGAACTACCCATATAAACGCTTCATCCTAAACCTCAAACCCTGGACCCCGCACACCCTATAGGCCCTGATTCCTGAGCATTGAAACAGGATCATAAATGATCGCAGCCAGTACAAGGAGCCGGTGCCAGAGCACCGGCACCAAGCCAGCCTTCAAAGAGCACATAGACAGAAGGATCCCGCTCAGAGTGAAGCTAAATGGATTTAGATGGATTTAGGGTTTATGGTTTAGAGGGGTTAGGCATTTAGGGTTGAGGGTGTCGGGTTTACGAGCTAGGGGTTTGGGGTTTCCGCGGTTCATGACCCCATATTCCTTTTCAGGATCCGGCACTTGGAGCACTCACCCTGAGCGGGTCCTAAGAGACTCCAAGGCCTTTTAACCACGCAAAGCACCTCAGATTAACGGAAGGACCCTTAACAAGAGCCCTTCAAGGAACCCTTCAGGAATCTTATTCTAGCTAGTCTGGAGCCTAACTATGATAGGCCTTAAAACATAACCCATACAGTAGCCCTGCGAAACCCGTAAGACGAACCCTTTCAGGAATCCAATCCGAAAGGCCCCTATCGCACAACCTGCATAGTAACCCCTACAGAGCGTTGATAGA